GGGGGGGGAGGAGGGGAAAGGAGGTCAATTATAAGACCTTGTGAGCCATGACGAGGTTTATCCTGGGAACATTCTTCCTCACAGCTGGAGGCTGCAAAACACCATAGGTGTGAGCACTTGCATCCGAGCTTCCCCTCCCAGCTGCAGCATTTGGCGAAGATGCAAGGGGCACTAAGCTCCTCAGCGGGACCACCACCTCATCCAGCGCAAAGTCCCACAAGAATAGTTGTGTGTCCTGAGGGTATGAAAACCCCCTCCACACACGCCATACAAACGCAAAGCATGATGACAACGGTTACACAACAACGCTCTTGCAAAGTTTCCACACTCCCACCATTCCATTGATGTTCTGAGAAGAAAGCCAAACCACACACTTTGGGCACCTCAATAAGATTGATTGCAAAAATGATAACACAGGTATGAACGAGGATATGAAGAATGGCAAGTGTTACGACCCTGGCCAATTTCGAAGTACACAATCATCAGAAAGTACAATGCCGTCCAATTGAAAACAGAAATGAATGAATTTGAATCAGAGGAGAGAGAGAAAAAGAAGAAGAACGAGAAGAAGAAAGAAAGAAGAAGAAGATGACGTACTCCAGCATAGACCAATGACAATGCTCTTCTTCTTCGCCAACCACTCTCCTCCTCCTTATCTCCTCCCCTCTTATTCAAACAAGAAATAACAATACTAATGTTGAATGGCTGAACCAGAATCAATGTCTAAATCCCTCTTCTACTGCAGGCACAATATGAGGTCCACCATAGACATGGCCACCCTTCCTCTTCCTCTTCATGTATGCCTATGGCGGACTACTGAGGGCTCCGCGCTCCTGTGCAAAGGACAACCCAAAGCAGCTATATCGCTGTCCTCCTGTGCAAAGGACAATGCAAAGCAGCTAAGCCGCTGCTCATTAAGCCGCCATGCCTGACTCTGCCCCGAGCTTCCTTTGTTACGGACTTCGCCAGGGCTCGATCCCTGGTCTATCTTTTGCTGTTTCGGCTGCATCCCGTTTTCGGCCTGGCACCCTTTTTCCAAACCCCTCCTTTGGTACCGTAGGATTTTGGACAACTGGCGCCATGCTGCAATTTCGGGCGCCACTTTCAAATACTGCATTTTTCAGTTCTGCCCTCGGGGCCTTTGCAGAAATGCCCCTAGTACCGTACGTGTCACCGATACTTATACCGGCTCCCCGTACGGTACGGGACCAGTCTCGTACCAGTTCYCTGCTGCTGTACTCGTACTCAGTGTGACTTGCTGTTTTGGCATTCGGAATCCAAGACTTCGACTTTGTGCCTTGCCACTGTGTCTGCGTCCGATCCTCAGTCCGAGTCAGTCGTGTTGAGTGAGTGAGTGTGTGTGTGTGCTCTCACTCTCTCCCTCTCTCTCCTCTCCCCCGGCTCACCCTCAGCCTCACGCTCGTTACACTGGTATCGGAGCGGTTCGAAACCCACCCTGCTTCGACGTCCCGACCCACCCTGCTTCGACGTCCCGACCCACCCTGCTTCGACGTCGTCACCTGGCCATCATCAACATCATCGTCGAGATCGTCGCCGCCGTGCCACGTCATCATCGTCATCATCGCRATCGTCGTCATTGTGCCCCGTCATCATCGTCACCGACGGGATCGCCGCCGTTGCGCCACGTCATCATCACCATGCCTCTCGTCCTCGTCGCTGCGCCGCGCCGTCCTTGTCATCGCCGTCGCGCAGATAAGTAATCAACGGCAATTTTATTTTTTTTATTTTTCTCCTT